TGTTGTAATGAGGCGGACCATAACAGCCCCTGAACAGGACGTTTGGCTCATATGTAAAAATGTGATACGTCTTCTAGGAAATGTCCATATTTATGAGTATTAACCGATCTCGAGCCCAGAGAAATGGAGGCAGAAATCTTTTTTTGAAAAACGAATAAAGGTCTGCTCTGCTGCATCAGTCTCGCCCTGACCCGGAGAGACCCCACAGTCTGCTGCTGGTCTCACCACCGAGACAGCTGGTGCATGCTTGTCTTAATCCCACAGCAGCCCTCCATCACAGCCTCAGACTGGCATGGAAACACGGGTCTCTTCCTCTGAATTCCTGAGCTCTGAAACACTGAAATACCCACAGTGCAGCTCATTAAATCGCTCTGTGAGTCAGCAGAATGATGACGGGCCCTGTTTGGACTCCGGGCCTAAACCGGAAAACAGTTTGTTAAAGGAGTCGTGATGAGGTCATCGTGTGCAGCAGCGCCCTTTCATGCAACAAACATCCACTTCCTAATTTGGAGAATGTATCTACCAGGCAAGTTAATGTGAGACCAATTCACCATCAGCACAGAAACCATCAGACTTACACGACTTAAAGTCTATCGACAGATTATTTTTGATGTGAATATGCAGTGAAGGAATGAGACGTTTGCTACGGGAGATTTTCTGCTTTCTGTTCGTAGCCCAACTTCAAACGAGCGATTGCAGTCAGTCAGAACAGATTATTACACCAAATTAGGATTTAATTGGGACGATGTTCTAAACTCATTAACAGTCATTATAAGATATGATTGCAAGAACGTACAAATGCTGAAGCTTCTGGAAAACAAGCTCTTCCACTGTGGATTAGGCTCAGTCACAGCACGTCCTGCTAAGCGTATCTGTAACATTACACTGAGTGCTGTGCTCCTAAAAGCCATTTCAGCTCCTTAACAGGCGCAGAGGAAGCATCAGCTCAGCTGGCATGTGGGGAATTCACTGAGCTACCTGAGCAAACCTACAGATCACTCAGCCGTCGGACACATGATGCAAACGTTTTGCTTCTTTTCTTAAACTCTGTTTCTTACACCTGCAAATTACAAACAAGCCTTCAGGTTTTCTTTGAACAGCAGCTCTGACAGCAGACGAGGAGCTCGGTGAGACAGGGAGGAGGTCGGGGTGGGTGGATGGGTCAGCTGATTACTTCAAGCTTTCAGGTAATCAGCTGATCCATCCATCAGCAGGTAAATGTTAGTGAGGGCTTATTGGTGTTTGAAGGCAGCTGTGAACACAGCTCTGCTCTTCTGTTATATGAGATTATAACGCTTACAATAAAAAAGAGAAACGTA